GGAAGAATCATTTGAACTTTGCGGGGTGGGAGCAATTCTATTCCTTTGTATATGTGTTCTACCCGCCAATTTCTTAGTTTCAGAATTGGCTCTGTCGTTTCCACTTTAATTTCCAGTAAAAGGGTAACTTTGCTCTACACCATGGAGTCTGAGTATTTCTTTCTTGGCACAGACTGACAGCAATGGACATTTTATTTTGTATTTTACATTTTAAAAAATGTCATAAATTGTGGGTGGGTGAGATGACTGCAAGATGATGCAAATGGCTGTAAATGTGATAATTACCCAAAATGTCATAATATAACTACATGGGGAAGGGAATCAGATATTCTAATCCAGATTATAAATTGGAGATCTGTCATAACCTTGGTCACTAAGTGACCAAATGTAAGTCAAGGACTATCTGTAGGTACCTAAAGAACATGGAAAATTACAGTTTACATCTATATGACACTATATTTTAATTGGAATGGCTTGTCTCATTGGCAATACCAAAAACTAGCAAATATGTTCAAAAGTTTTTATTAGTTCATTTTTTGGATAGTTTATGCCAAAGTTAGGTAAATTTCTACCTTCTGTATGGGGAAGAGGGCAACAAATGTTGATCTAACATATATAATAACCACTATGCCAAGATTCAGCTTCATATATTCCAAAGTTAGACAAGATAGCAATTTATTTAAGATCAACATTCAGCTCAAAATTCTGGGTGCTACAATGCGAAAATAACTGGATGGAGTTTAAGAAAGCCAATTCAGCATTATTCCGTTAAGCAAACTGAAGAAAGCAAGCAAAATTGTCCAGATAGATGAGATAAAAGTTGCAGTTCGTGCATTGTGTTCCCACAGTTTGCTAAACTCTAGTTGGCTCAATAAGCCACAATTGTTAGTGGTCAAACATTGTATTTAAAAATCACAATGGTTAGATTCACACAACATGTAAAGATGAAAACTAACCTTATTATGGCTTTGAAAGCAGCATCCCTGATACACTTCTAAGGAGCATATAACTGAGAGCCCTTCTCCAATTATCTTTTCTCTGAATACACCTTTGAAAATATACCCAAATTATCATGGTTAGTTAACTATAGCCCCAAATACTACAAAGCTCTCTTAATCCATTTTAACTAACAGCAGGTTAGGGTCATCATGGCCTTTCATGGCAAAAGGCTGCTTTTTTGTTTTTGTCCTGAAATGATGACCATCAATAGCCCATTTACTCTACTGGTTAAGTCACCAGGCTAAAAACAGGAGACCATTAATTATAATCCCACCTTAGTTATGAAAGCCAGCTGAGTGACTTTGAGCCAGTCACATTCAGGAGTAAGGTTTGTTTGCTGCATGAGTTATTTATGAAAAATAAAGGTGAGATAAAGTGATTGCAAAATGTAATGCTATCAAATAAAACCCCTTAAGCAAGAGGTCTTTCTCAGATTGAATACTATACTGTACTTTTTTTTTGTCTTCATTCCAGAATCTAATGGCATTTGTGTTTCTTGTAAGACTAATTTTAGGTTTTCCTTTTTAAAAAGGTAATTGGTGAGAAGACATGAAGGGGGGGAAAAAACAACTTTTCTCCCCACCTGCTGATCTGGTTGACCAACTCCCAAATTCCCCTGCTGGCAGAGTTGTACCTGCAAGCATGTTGATTGGCTATACCGCATCTGTGCTTAATTTATATGTACCTGAGACCTTTTAATTACAAACGTGCTTCAAAATTACCTTCACACTTTTGAAAACAAAAGCAACAAAGGTTAACCCTTTACTGACTGGCCAATATATAGTTTACAGTTAGATCATAAGATGTTCACAGTTGAACCGAAATGAATGTTTAGCCTACCGAAATACCTGCGGCTGTAATTTCTTGTATTATTATTTTTTCTGCGTGTAACCTCAGTGACCTCAACAAAACTTTCCCCAGCAGATATATTCGGACTCTTCCAATTCCTTATTGGTTCATATTACATAGAAACTCTAGGAACTGTAATCCGGAGGCTTCGAGAGGAACCCGGTTCGCGGCGGATTCGGGAGGCAAATCGGAATAAAAGCGGCGGGGAAAGCTGAAGGGCAATCCATTTGGGTTTGACTAGCTGTGAGCGCCCTGCAGTTTCTGCCCAATCCGTTCCCTCTTTTACGAAGCGAGGAAGGTCCTTCTATCCACCGGCGTTACTTTAGCCCAAAAGCCGAGCCTCTCTCCCGCGCACACACCTTCCCCCGCAGCCGGTGACTTGGGTCCATTTGCCAGGAGGCTCTTGCGCCTACCTCCCGGCACAACTTTCTTGCCAGTTCGGTTCCGCCCACTCCTTTTTGGGAAAATGCTCACATTTTCTCTACTTCTCTTTTTACCCAGAGCAGCCCCCACCCCTCCCGCGCGCCCTTTCCAGAACAACTATGCAAATTGTCCACGACCAGGAAGTAAAGCCGGAGCGCACAGTAGCCTCTGCAAGGCGCCTGAGGTTCCTCTGTGCAGCGAGCAGGACTGGCTGAGGCGAGAATGAGCCTCGCCGGTTCTTCTTGGTTAGGTTTTCACTTCCCCTGTTTTTAAGTTCCGAAAACGGGGCGACTTCGTTCTCAGAGAGGCTCCTTCTGGGCTGCGGGCTCCCTCTCCTTTTCTCCAGCCTCCGGGCTGAAAAAACGGTGGACTTAATTGGTGTGGAGTTCAACTCTCCAAGCTCAGGAAGGTAAGTCCTTCTTCTTTTCCGACCACTTTAAGGGGCTTTTGGCGGCCCCTTTCTCCCTTCCTGTCCTGGGAGATGGGTTGGTTTTACTGGAGCCTGTGGAACTTCCTTTGATCAGACCACGATCTTTCTACCCGTCCGGTTCGACTTGAATCTGCTTGGGTTAGTTGGCTGTCGCTTTGTTCAGTGATAATTTCTCTTTATCTTTGGAGAGTGGGTCGTTGCTTCTGACGGATTTCCTTCTGACGGATGTGGAGCGCTGGGAGATAGGTAAAAAGAGATTTTGCCCTCCGATGTTGACAATTGAAGGGGTGTCTGGCCCCATTGGCTCTCAACAAACTAATGTGTCTATTGTAAATTCATTCAACGCTTGATTTTGGTATCCTATACTTTTGCATGTATTGTCTCTCCATCTTTTTCCTTTTATTCAAGAATCTTTGCCCGTAGTTTTACAAGACATTGAAGATGTCTTGAAATTATCCCAAGTTAGGCAGACAATCTAGCCTTCAGTAATTAACGTGTGATATTAGTATTTATATATTGTGAAATTAGAGGCAGTGGGAATATCAACCTTCCCCAAACCCAATTTTCTCCAGACTGTTAGGTGTTAGTTGGGTTAGACATTGTATGAAATACTGACTCTGCCTCAAACCAGTAATAGATGATGCAATGAAGTCTGTGAACCTAAAAAAATTAGGTTAGTTCAGAAAACCATTGAGGAGCATATCATGAGAGCAACTGATTTAATTTGTAAATATTTCTTAGCTTAGTTTATGTCTCAACTTTCTTTCAGAAGGACGAAGCAAGATGCCTAGTTTGCTGCCTTCTGATTTGATCATTGCAAAAATGCCACAAGGCTGGGAGAAGGTGATTGGCTCATTAAGTCTCTGAACTCTGCTTCAGGGCAAAATTAGGATTTCAATCTGGGGTCCAGTAGTCTAGACATTATTTTATGCAATATTATTATTTAGGGATGCTTTGGATGCACTTTCATATGGGCTTTTGTCCACATGGATATGATGAAATTGTTACAGTAGTTTGTAGAATTGAATTACAGTAACATTAGCAAATTGAATTGAATTGAATTACAGTAACATTAGCAAAGGGGTACAAATAAATATTTTTAATGATGCTCTGAAACCATTTACAACATAGTGCCTTTTCCTGCTTTGTTATTTAAATTCTTAATGCTCTGCAGTTTGAACTGTATGCTGAACAGTTCTTTTGAAAAAAAAGAGGAAGTGTGATACTAAATGGGCAGTTTATACAGCTGACCCTTAGAGGAAGTTTTATCTGTATACCAGCTATGTTACAGTTGCATTAGCTGAAAGGAAGTCAGTACTATTATTACAATAGCTCCTCTATCAGTTTATAGGGAAGTAAATTTATGCAGTTCAGTTGTTTAATTTTGACAGACATTTTCCCTCTTGTTCAGAATGTTTTGCAAGTGTCACTACACTTTGTCTTATTAAAAGTAGGTTGTTTTATGACATGATTGATTCATTATTTAAGAAATATATTAGCTGTTTTCCCCACTTATAGATACTATTAGCTGTTTTTCTCAACCAGATAACACTTGCGAACATAATATGTTACTGTCTTTGTGCAGTTTAATAATAATAGCTCTGCTCTTGAATGTTAGTAATATTTCAACTAAATAATTGCTACAAGATGATACAAACTTCTTTTTTCTAATTAATATTAATTATAATTAGGTTTTTATAAAAAAAATCTAGAAGAACAGTTGAAGTTAACTGTCTTCAATTCCTCAATCCTATCCTTATTTACCTGTGAGGATGTTCTAGATACTTAAAATTTTATTAAAAAACTGCAGTCTTGATATAGGGTATTCATCATAACAACATACTTCTGTTTTATTGCTCATTGATTTTCTCTTACTTCACAATCTTGATATGGCTATCAGAATAGTTGTTTACTATTTAGCATTCTCATCCATTGTTTTTATAGCCTTCTGATACAAGCAAAAGTTAATGATTACTCAAAATGGAATGTTAAACAATTACTTAAAATGCTAGACAAATAAACTTAATTGATTTTATTCTTAAAAGGGTTTTCTTTATAACTTGAATCGGGGAAATTGTTTCCTGATTTTTAAGTCATTATATTAAAAAAAGACCAATTACATTTGGAGTAGGATTGATATTCTTGTGTGCATATGTTTGAAACATTTGATGCTTCAATGAACAAAGGCAGCATAGTGTATATTTTGTGTAGTTACAATCCATTTGTGCTCACTAGAAGGGCTTATAAAGGTAGACAGTAGTGGTCTTTAGAATAGATAGTGTTTGGTCACAAATTGTTTAATCAGTCTTGATTCCAAATCACACTGTCTATTCTCAGTTTACTCCTTAGATAAGTGAGATTTACTATTTTCAAATTGAAAAGTCATATTAATAAGTATATGTTTATACGGAATGTATTGCAGCAAGGTATCTTCCAGTTTTAATAAGAAATTAATTAGAAAAGATTAATGGTAAAAGGGCAATTCGGAGTGCCCTTGCACACGTTGTATATAAAGAAGTCAGGATAGTAAAAAGAGGCAATTGCATCTTGGTGGCTAGAATGTTCCAGCCAAAACATGACTTTATAGTTCTACCCACCCACATCTGATGCATGCAAATTTAGGTTTAAAGCAGTATACATAATTGCTGCTATGTTGATTATTCCGTATATTTGTTGGGATATAAAGTGTGACAAATTTTCTATCTGAAGAAAAGGAAAAAAAAAATCCATTATTAAGGTTTGCAAATATGTTTTGTTTGGTCAGCACAATGAAACATTGGAAGATATGAATATAATTATTATTAGATAAGTAAGGATAGGCACATGTAGTATGAAAGAGCTGAGAATTTCTTAATTTCAGCTAGATATGTTCTGTTAAAGACAAACCCAAGGAGTATATGGAGACATGGAGTCACACTAGTAGTGAGAATGATGGCATGTACATTTAATAAACATAATTTTCATCAGTAAAAATGTTCAGGTCTCTGTCACTTGCCCGACAACCAAATATTCATAGTCTTTGGAGAATAAAGTTACATGGTTAATTATTAAAACTATTTTCTAGGTTTGTGATTCTCTCATTAAATCCCAGGATTCGCTGGAGTTCCACATGAAACCTTTAAACTTTTTTCAAGACATTTTGTGAAAATGCCTATACTGGTCTCTCAAAATTTCAAATGTGCCTAAAAAAACCAAACAAGTTCATTGCCAGAGTTCCTCGCAAGACACTTTTTGCTATCTGCCACCTTTCAGATACTTAAGTTTGTGACATTTCCTGTTAAGAGTTTGAGAGTTATCTCTAATCATTCATTTAAAAACACGAATGCTTTGAAATAAATGTCATAAATGGCCTGTTACAATATACACTGTTAACAATCATACCATAAGGTCTGGGAGGAGAGGAATATTACAAGTCACATTTGTACTTGTGACATCTAATGGGAATCAGGAGGCCGGTCTTTTCTGCAGTGGAATCTACTAACACACACACACACCCTCCCGCAAACATGACATTAGCCCCAAGGTGACGTTAGCCCCAACCCTATTGGTCTTCTAGAATTCTCTCAAAATCTGTTTTTATTCCCCAGCAAGCTCGGGGAACCCATGAAAATAGAGAGCCCATGAGGTGGTTGAATTGTGTGTAGTATGTTGCTCCCTTCTCCCCCTTTCTTATTTACTGTATATGTTGAATTGTTTTTAATGGTTATTTTTATTTGTTTATAGTGTTTGTTTTATGACTCACTGGTCAGAATCATGTTTATGAGATGGGCTGCTATGTAAATTAGATACTTAGTATATTTGAGCTTCAATTAATTAAAAATGAAGTTTTGCCTTAAAAAAAAAGAAAATCTAATGCAAAAAAGCTGTACAACTGCCATATTATAATGTGGATATTGTGACTGAAGAACTGTAAAGCTACCCGGGTACTGAAGAAAGTGTGTGTGGATAATATTTTTCATAGTTCCTTTTCTTGAAGTTTCATTATTGCATGTTAACACTAGCAGGAAATCCAGTGTTTGAGATAAATTTATTTTAAGTACTTTGTTACTAAAAACATGTAGGTTGCTAAGTATAGATCTCTTAACTATCATAATAATAATACATCTTTCTAATTTTCCTTAAATATATCCACAATTCTTTAGATTATTGTTTAATGTTTTCTTTTTTGTTCCTCAAGCATGTTGCAACATAGTATTTAAAGGCCAAATATAACTCTGATCACAAATATTGTGAGGATACTGATCTCTAATACACTCATTACAATGAAGTGATGGAGCAGGTATACATTCCAGTCACAAAGAAAATTAGATTGTCCTGTTAAGAATTCCACTTTTTCAATTGTGGCTCTGGGAAATATCTTTGAGAAAGACTTTCCGGATCAAATACCTTGGCTCTTTGAAAAGTAAAAGTCTTTATAGGTAGTCCTTGATTAGCAAATGCCTTGTTTAGCAGCTATTCGCAGTTAGGATGGTGAGGAAAAAGTAAATTTATGACGAAAGGAAAATTGGAGTAAAATTATAGGACAAATACATTTCCATTTAATGAGCATTTTGCTTAATGGCAGAGTTACCAGTCACAATTGTGGCCACGAAATGAGGACTACCTTTATAGTTGCTGATGTATGCTGCATAATTTTTTTACAATCTCTTATGTATGTTTTTCCCTTTCCTGTGAATGAACCAGTGGTCATTGTAATTGCTTTGGGAAATGTAAACTTTGAAAGCAACTTGTAAATAGAATTAACAGATTAACTATTTATGTAAGTCATTTTATCTTTCAGTCTTGTCACTATGGATTTCAACACATTACATCAATAATATATGCTTTTTACATTTGCTTTTGATGTGAAAGTTATTTTGCAGAGGAAGCGTCCTTTAATGGTGTGCCTTACAAACTTTAAATTCAAAATTAAGGCATGTATGAGTTAAAATGAAAATACCAAACATATGGTTCTTACCAACATAGGTCAGAGGTACCAT